CAATTTGTATCAATATTGCTAAAGAAATTTTGAACTTTCATAGATACTTGTTTATGTGCCTATCCTTGATATAGTTTGTACCTTTTATGCAAAATTATGTGTGTCATAAATTGATTAATCCTTATTTTAGAAAGGAGGAGAAATCTTATACTACAATTTTGCTTGATTTGTTTTGTGATAACAATTTGTATGCTTTGTGATAATATGTCTTTAACAATTGGTATCCTTAACAATTGGTATGAGCTTGTATGTATGTGTTTGAATATATTTTTAATTATTATTGATGTTTTAGGTTCTAAGCACATCTTATGATAACATGATTTATGAGTAAGTTGCATATTATTTATTATCTTTTTGCTCATAAATTTCATGTGGCTAGGTTGAATGAATAATTTTGTGCTATAATGTTTAAATTGATACACTTATGTTTTTGTGCTTGAATACATGTATGTGAACTTCATTGTGTATATTACACTTGATTAGATGTATTCAAAATATTCTTGATATTATTATTATCAAGCATTTTGTCCCACGCCTTGAATATCTCTCTTTCTTTTACAATGACAAAAAGGGAGAGAGTTTATGGATATTTCTTCTTGTATGCTTAAAGCAAATGGTATAAGAGCTTTAACATTTGGCATAAAGAGCTTAAATAAAAATGGAGAGAAATATTTCATGAATATATTTGTTAATGATGGCTCTTTTTGTTTATTTGCTCATTAATATGCTCATGCCTTTCTGTTATGACAAAAAGAGGGACAACTATCATATGGACAAATTTGTTTGTGCTTGACATACATATGTTTAATCGTGCTTATTTGATATATTTGACTAACATATGTTTATTTAGTTGTGTTGAATTTGGATGCATTAATTGAGGGAGAGTTTGTTATGCAAAGTTTAAGGGGAGTTTTTCAAAATATTTTTTTAAATTCTTAATTGTCTTAAAAGAAAGTTTTTCATCAAGCAAATTTATTTTTAAATTTTGTTATATCAAAAAATGAGAAATTGTTAGCCTTAAATTGATCATTATTTTGAAATGATAAAATATTAAGCTAAATAAGCTTGATCAAGATTTTGAAAAAATTTTATTTAGTAAATGTTCTTAAGTTTTATTATTTTGATACTAAATAAATAATATGATTTTCAAAATTTAAATAGATTGTTCTTTATGTTTTCTTATTTCTTAAATCAAACTTACCTTTAAACATTATATATTTAAACTTAAATGAAAGTCCAATTGTTGTTTTTAAAATGAATTTATTCATTTTGGACTCAATATAATTTTGATAATCTTGGCTATAAGAAATAGATTAATTTAAGAAAGTTATTTTACAAGAATAAAGTTTCTAACATTGAACTTGTTTCATTTTTCTCTATTAATTCACAAATTTTTAATATTTGAATTTTATATGGTTGAAAAACTCTTTGAGTCTACTTTCTGATGGATTAAACAAAATCAAAATCTAAATTTTTTAAGAAAAGATTTTGAATTTTTACTAGATACTATACAGTTATCTAAAAATTGCATAAAAGGTAGATTTACAAATTCACTATAATTAGAATACAATGAATTAGATGACGGATTTTATATGGATAGAAAGCCCTTTAAGTCTAGTTTCTAAATCTTTAAACGATTTTTGATTTGGAGTTATATAACTCAATATATGATCAAATTAGTGAGCAGAGTGCAAAAAAAAGACAATAAATGGTATTGTTCATCCAAAATCATTTAGTATGCAAAATCTAGTTGACTCAATTAATCAGGTACCAAAACCAATCGATCACCTTAGCTATAATGGTCAAAAATTGAGTAAAATTCAAGAGTCATTAGATCCCTTATCCAAACTAATCAATCCATTTGTCCTAAACAAGCTCAAAAAACTAGTTTCAAAGGAAAAAATAATGTGTTTTCATTTCTTAAGCTTCTCAAATGGCTACTTCCTCAATTCTTCTATAAATTTGGCATTCCAGCACACCAAGAAAGTTGATGAAATAAGAGAGCAAGATCAAATAAGTCATATTTTTATTTTCTCAAAGAAATCAAGAGTTTTAAAGCTTAAATTTAATATCTTTTGTATTTCTTGTATCCAAAATATTTTTGTGTTTCATTCATCATTTTTTTTTGTACTTCATTAGGCAAACACTCAACCTTGAGATATATTTTAGTTTGTAAAAATCATGTAGATTATCTTGTAAGCAAGAGATGATGTATCCTCTTGATTGTGTAAAGGTAGAGATTTCTATTTTAAGCCTTAGGAAGAAAAATATAGGGTTGTATTCTCAATTCAAAATTAGTGAATTGAAGCTTTAGTGTAAACAACCAAAAGAAGGACATAGGTGCCTTATGAAAAAGAACCAAACCTTTATAAATCCTTGTATTTAATTTTTCTATCCTTATCGCTTTACTTTGATTATAGTTTATATTTGCTTCAAGTTCATCGGTTTATTGTTATTTGTATTATATTTTGATATTAGTTTTAATCTTCCATTGAATTAAATTGAAATCTATTTTTGAAAAAAAATTTGAAAAAATCCAATTCACCCCCTATTGAATCACTCTCTCACCTAAAAAACTAATAATTTTGTAAATATCTAAGAAAAATAGCTAGAAATTAAAAGTAAATTGATACATAAATAAGTGAAAATAAACGTAAAATTAATATCATTTGAAGTAAAATAGGTAAAAAGTATCATAATACATTAAAAAGATGTTATGATAATTCTAAACATAATAAAAAGTAAAAACAACTATAAGAAGATATTATTGTAAAGTAAATAATTATGTTGACAACGAAAAGTTTTAATTATTTATTGTTCCTATAAATATATAAGAAAAATAGTTAAAATTAAAAAACAAATTAATAATGTAAACAAATGATAAGTAACATAAAAGTAGTATCATTTGGAGTAAAATTAGTAAGAAGTCTCGTAACACACTAAAAAAAAGTTGTAACAATTATAAATGTAATAAAAAATAAGAACAACTATAAAAACATATTAGTACAACGTAATTTATTATTGTTTTTGTAAATATATAAGAAAAATAGTTAATAATTAAAAAATAAATAGGTATCATAAGCAAGTAAGAAAAATATAAAATTTATATTATTTGACATAGAATTTATATGAAAAACTTATGACAATTCTAAATACAATGTAAGATAAGAATAAATGCAAAAAAAAATTATTGTAACATAAATAATTAAATAGATAACGTAAACTTTGAATTGATTATTATTTTTATAAATATATAAAAAAACTAAAAATTAAAAAATAAATTGATAACGTAAATAAGTAAGAAAAGTATAAAATTTATATCATTTACCATAAAATGGGCAAGAAGTATCATAACACGTTATAAAAGAATTATAACAATTCTAAACATAATAAAAAGTAAAAACAACTATGAGAAAATATTTTTGTAATGTAATAATTAAGTAGGTAACGTAAAATTTTAATTAATCGTTATTTTTATAAATATATAAAAAAATAACTAAAAGTTAAAAAACAAATAAACAAAGTAAACAAACAAGAAAAATCGTAAAATTTATATTCTTTGGTATAAAATAAATACAAAGTGTTATAAAATACATTAAGAAAGAGTTATAATAATTTTAAAAATAATAAAAGTCAAGAACAACTGTAAAAAGATATTATTATAATGTAAATAATTAAATAAGCAATGTAAAATTTTAATTAATTATTATTTTATAAATATATAAGAAAATATCTAAAATTTCAAAAAAAAAAAACAAATACGTAAGTAAACAAGTGAGCAAAAGTATAAAAGTTATATCATTCGGTGAAAAATGAGTAAGAAAGATAATAATACACTAAAAAAATTTATGATAATTCTAAACTTCTCTTACGAAAATATTATTATAACATAAATATTAAGTTAGTAATGTAAAATTTTAATTAATTATTGTTCATATAAATATATAAGAAAAATATCTAATAAATAATAAAAAAAATTGATAACTTAAACATGCAAGAGAAAACATAAGATTTATATCATTTGATGTAAAATGTGTAAAAAGTATTTTAACTCAATAAAAAAAGTTATGATAATTCTAAATATAACAAAATGTAAGAACAACTGTAAGAAAATATTTTTGTAATGTAAATAATTAAATCAATAACATAACATTATATTTTAATTAATTATTAGTTTTGTAAATATATAAGAAAAATAAATAAAAAATAAATAAAAAATTTTATCGTAAACAAGCGAGAAATACAATAAAATTTTTCTTATATTTAAAAGCTATCATTATACAATTTTTAGTCTTAAAAATTTATAACATAAATATTTGTGTTGTAATTTTTTTCATTATATAATAAAAATATTTGTGTAATAGTAAAAAGCGTTATATCTTAATCGAGTGGCATATCAAATATACTAATTTTTTATAAAAAAAAAATAAAAATGTGCTATTAAAGTATCTATGAAAAAATCATACAAATAAAACAATACAATGATAACTTTAATTTTTATGATTTATGTTAATAAATTTTTAAGGCTAGAAAGAAAAATCATACAAATAAAATCATAAAATACATAACAGAAATAATTAAAAAATAATTTTAAAATTAAAAAAATAACATAAAATAATTTATATTTTAAAATTAAAAATAAAAAATTAGTAAGATGAATACTAAAATTTATATTAATTACTTTTGTAGCATTGTTATTTATTAATAATTAAAAAATAAAAAATTTATTTATTAAAATAATATGTGACATAACTATTGTTGAATTTTAATTTGAATGTTATTATTTATAGATGAAAATAAGTATAAAATATGTAATTTATAATTTTTATTTGTTAGAAAAATAAAATAAATAAAATTATTTTTATATTTTTCAGTTGACCTGTTTACCTATTCTTTTATTTTTCATTGCTTTTTAATTTTTATAATTTTTATGATTTTTCATAAAATATCATAATATTTTATGATATTATAATAAAATTTATAAATTATGATCTTACTATGAACAAATGAGAATATAATATCAGAATATAATTAGATTAGATTAATATAACAAAATTATTACTTTAAGAAAAAAAAATCGGGAAACAAAAGTAAAAGAAGAAGAGTAGGGTTCTTCGAAAATCTTCTCCTCCTTCCTTCCCTCTCTCACGCTCCTCTTTCTTCATTTTTTTTTTTTATTTTCCGTCTCTCTCTTCAATTCAAGACTATATCCTTTAAATTTAGATTTTTGGACACCTTTTTGCTTACTTGTTTTTCAACTATTTGGAGGCTTTCTTTTTCTTTTTTTTTTTTTTATAAGATTAATTAGAAATAAGTTAAAACTTGTCTCTGCTGGGTGTTTTTCATCGAACAGGTGGTGAGAATTGCGGATACAATTCTCCAATCGGATTGGCTTCACTTTTCTCTGATTGATTGGGTACTTCTGATTTCTGATGTTTATAAGTTAATAGTCAAGTGCTTCTTTATATTCTCATTGTTTGTGTAAACTGTTCATAATTTAATATTTAAGTGTATTTTCATATTTTTTCTTGAGCTGTTGCCTCTATCAATTAGTCAATTGGCCTATTTTTGTTACCAAATCGGCTTGAAGACTGCAATGCTGCTTCTTTCATTATTGAAAATGCCTAATATTGTTTATGGAGATATTTGTGGAAAGATGAGCGGAAAGCTTTTCTTTTCGGTGGCTTTAGATTTGTAATCTCATAATTAATTCATAGATGCCCTTAGAGAGGCTTAAGTTGCTGAGTAACAAACAATGGAATGCTTATTTTGCATTTCAGTTGACCAGTGAATTATTCTAGTTTGGTTGTTTTAGGTTCTGTTCGATGTCTATGTAAAAGGTCTAGAGAGGCTTATGCGATAGACAAGCACAAGATATAAAACTTTGCTTCATGGTTAAAAAAAAAATTGGTGTTAGGACATAGGAGTTACTTGAGAGTTGGAGCAGTTATTGTTCCTTGATCTAAAGATGATACTAAAATGGATGACCTTCTTTGTTGGCAAAGGATTGAAATAGACATGTAAAACTTTTGATCAATCATTTAGGGATTGGTAGAATTGTCTTTTGGAAAGAGAAGGAATATGGCTTTAATTTTACAAGTTTTTGAAAATCCATTATTTATTTTATAGAACTTTCCAAATGATCTTGGTTTTGAAGTTCCCCAACAAATAAAAAGGCAAAAGGTTCAGGCATCATTCAGAAGGAACCTATTGTCAAGAAGCTAGTGAAGAAAATTTTTTTCATAACTTATTTTCTGGAAAGAAAGAACCATAAAGAGTAACAATGTATCATATATTTGCATCATAACTTTTAGTATCTTCACATTTGACTTTACTTTATCAGAAAATTATAACTAATCGTCAGTATTCCTTCTGCATGAAACTTTCCCCAGCTCTTGTTGAAGATTCTGTATTGTGAATCTTGGTTACTAGACTTTTAGTAAGACTGCTTATATATCAATGCAAATTAAAGAAGTTCTTGCAATCTTATTGCACAAATCCTCAAATCCTATAGTAATTGAATTCACAGTTAATTAACATTCCTTTAATGACAATCCCAAGTTCCTTATGGGTTGCATTTTACAAGCTTGATAAATGCTTAGGTTATTAAAGGGTTTGCCTAATTTCTGTGTTGTATATTAAAAGATTTGTCTTTTCTTCTAGGGTAATACCTACAAGGACCAATCGTGTTTTAGAATTTCATGTCAAATAATTGGGTCTTGCTCTGCTGTGCTATTAAAATGTTCAATAAAAGCTTTAGGTTAATTAGGTTTCTTTTATTACATTATCTTTTAATTACTTTAAATGTACATGATTATCAGTGCTAAATTGTTCTAACTCAAGGTTTAGTTTGGTCAAATTATGCTAACAGTCATTATACTCTATTGAAATTTGAAATTTAGTCCCTATAATGTAATTCATACAAATGTAATCCTCGTAATATTTTAATTTAATAATCTTAGTCCAATCACTAGCTCTATTAAATTTTTGCTATTAAAAATGCTAAAGTGGCCATTAATTTGATGACGTGACTATTGACTTTGAATTGTGGCATTTTGATTGATTTAGTATGTAACTGATGATGACATGGATTTAATGAAATTTTCTCCTTCCTTCTCTCTCTAGCTTTTCCATATCTCTCTAAATATAAAACACTTTCTCCTCTCTCTAACATGAACAACTGGCAGCCACCCTATTTTCTAGAAACCAGTGACCAGCCACTGTGCCGCCCATCGTCCTCTGGTGCTGGATATCTCCCAAAATTTATCTCCAAACTCCTTTTGGCTGCCTCTTTCCTTTTCTTTGGTTACTTTTTCCTAAAAACATATGAACCCCTTTCACCACTCCAATCACCTTTGTTTCTTAGTATGTTCTTCCTCATAATCTGGCCTCCTTCCTCACTAAATTTGTTGCCCCAAATCCCTCTGAAATACCTTGAACCTGAAACCACCAGGTCCTATGTTTTTGACTCCTTTCTCTTTCCTTTTTTTTTTGTTGGATTTTTTTAATGTTTTGTGTTGCTTCCCTTAAGGGATGATGCTGGATTTTTTTGGTTTGTGATTTTTTTCGTAATTTTTTGGGTAAGATGGGGATTTTTGGATGGTGGTTTTCTGTGGAGTCTTTGGGTAGGTGGTGATGGTATTTTGGGTATATGGTGGTTCTCGTAGGTGGTGGTAGACTTGCTTTGGGTCTAATGTTCAGGTCCTGCAACTTTGATTGCATTTTGTTTTATTGTTTTACGGTTCAGGTGAAGAAAGGCAAGAATACTGTTTTACAAGTCAACTACTATGATATGGTATCTTTAGAATATACGTCTGGAAATGACTTGTCAGTGAAGAATGATTTGCATGAAAAAAATTCTTATGCTTATATGGATGGGTCGCTCAATTTCCCAAGACTAGAGAAAGGGATTTTCCTTCAAAAGATGAAAAGTGCTTATCTTCAAATGGGATGACTTCTTTAGAAAATTTTCAGCTGTAATTGAACGATAGTTTCTACAGTTAATGTGCAAAGTTTGAACCAAGACTTGGAATCTTTAAAGTTGCAATCCTTTTCTTTTTTAAGTTGTTTTTTTTTTCTTTTTTTGTTTTGAAATTAATTTTTTAAATAAATTAAAAAAAAAAAAACTGATGTGGATTAATAGAAATGGCCATGTGGCATTTCATTTAATCCATGTCATTGTCATTTACATTATAAACCAATCAAATTGCCACATAACCAAAGTCAACGGCCATGTTTGCATTTTTAATAGAAAATTTTAACAGTGTTAGTGATTAGACTAAGATTATCAAATCAAAATAGTATGACTACATTTGTATAAATTACAATACATGGACTAAATATCAAATTTCGATTGAGTACAATGACTGTATTTGACCTTTTGGTGTTTACGCTGATTCAAGCCCTTTTTATGATTAAATACAGTGCTTAGAGCCTTTCTTCTATGTGGCTTTAAATTTCATTTGTACCCTATATGATAGTCAATTCAGATTTTAATATTAGTGAATTCTGATTTTAAAATAAGTATAATTTCTATTCAGCTATAAGTAAAGAGAACTTCTTGTTCATATATTAGTAAATGATATTTATGATGTGCTTAGCTATGCTAGTTATCATGGTGTGCTTAACAGTATTAATTTTAAATTTGGTGACAAAAATGAACTTCTGAAACTATATTGATCTTAATTGTTATGATTGCATGGTATACAAATTACAGAGCTTTGTGATTTGAGCTTTGTATCAGTTTCAAGATTGATGGTTGACTTGGAATAAGCTAATCTTTGTTCCATCCTACCTTTCATTTCATTTAGCAGGCATGGATGAGCAATTCATACTTAGAGTTCCACCGTCTGTTGCTGAGCGCATAGATCGGCTTTTAAGTGAAAATGCTTCATTGTCTGAGGACAAATCACTGGATTTGGTATTTTCTGGTGAGAAATTTTACTTGACCATACAAATGCCTCATCAACTGTTGCTTTTGTCTACGTGTTAACACTTAGTGTTCTTTCTAAACTCTCAGCTTCTATTAAACTTGCTGCTAAGAAGCTCTTGGTTCCTTTAATTTAATTTAGCTAAACATTTGTGTGGTTAGATCACTTGTACGTACGCTGTACCATAATCTTTATTTTGTCTTTCTTGTTGATTTATATATTGGCCAAGCCATAGAAGACCCAACTGTCTTTTTTACAGTCTTTTTCTAGTAAAGTATATCTTTGTAACCTAAAGAGTATGGACTGTCATGCAACTTTATTACTTTTCCCTGGAGAAATAGAAAAACAATTGATAATGTTTATAGTTTAGGGTTAGGGCTAGGGCTAGGGTTTAGGGTTTAGTCTTTTCTAGGAAGGTGTCTCTTTGTGGCCCGAAGAGTATGGATTGCAAAGCAACTGTATTACTTTTCCCTGGAGAAATAGAAATATAATCCACTTCACAGTTTGGCTTCTTCTGCCATATGTTTTTCCATTATATGTTCTCTCAAAGGCTCCAATAATGTCATTTGACTTATAAACTTGATTGGAGATTATCTAGCTTCTAGCTCATTGTATTATTAGACAGATGGGACTGAACCTAAATGCTGGACAAGAATGTTTCATCTTAGTGAATTTATCTTTTGCGACACCTTTATTTGGATACATTCAGTTGTCATTGCCTACTAATGCAATCAAGGAGAGTTATTGACCTTCTTTTATGATATTGACATGTCATTTGGAGATGAAACATTGCTGAGCAAGATAAACATTTGAAACAAAGAAAGAAAGAAACAATTTTGTTGGCAAGTATTTATTACTTTAAGAAGGCAATAGATATGAGTTTTATTGAGTGTAATAGCCTCTCCAGCCGGCTCCCATAGTATACTTATGTAGATTTGCATATAGAGAGTAGTACATGGGAGTTATTACCTTTAAAACAAATCTGTCTTATAAAAAAATGTGTGAGCCTACATGGATGAATAATTTTATTCTTTGAATGGTGATTTGCTTTTTATGGTTTTGTGCTTTAGAAGTCCATTAGTCTGACCAGAGTGACACTTTCTTGAATGATAGGAAGAGTTATTGTGCAGCAGCAAATAATTATTAAATACAATATTAGCTCTGCATGTTTTCCAAGATAAAGTGATTAGTGATTACCAAAACTGAAGTTAAGATTGTGCATCTATTATTCACATCATCAATATTATTTGTCCGTTGTCTCGAGATATTTGTGAATGTTAAGCTTCTCCTTACTTTGCAGAGGATGGGAGGACTGGTACATTTGTCATTGGCAATGATCGTTTCCCTGCATCTCTCTTTGATCTTCCTTGTGTTGTTGAGTCATACAAAACTTACGATGATAGTGCCTTAGTTAAAACAGCTGATGTCGGCCAAGTATGGTACTTGCTATTATTTTTTACTTTGATATTGTTATGCATGGTTGCTTCACTTCTAGTAAGGTCATATTAACTGTTGTTGTTACAGATGATTTTGGTCAGAGAGTCAGGAGATGCATCTCCAGACGTAGTGGAGTACAGACATGGTCTCACCCCTCCAATGAGGGATGCACGGAAACGAAGATTTAGGAGGGAGCCAGATCTAAATGTATCAATAAACTTGGTTCTTCTCAAAAATCTTTTTGTTTATGCATACTCACTTTAGAAAAAGAAAATTTTCTCTGACTGTGTGGAAATTCTAATTTATAGACATAACTTCATAATATATGCCCTGTAATCACAATGATTCATAATTCGTTTTATTCTTTAAAGGGGGAGTGATCAAATGTAAAAGGAGCTACATCAAAGTCTCTTATATTTAGCCAATATACTTTTGCTAAGAAGTGACCATGCTTTCAGCACTTCTATCTTGTGTATGGGAGTGGGAGTCACTGAGTGTTAATGCAGGTGTGGCTGTTTCTTTCCTTCTTATTTAGTAGTTTTACTAATTCCAGTTATGTTATTTTGCAGCCAGAGTTTGTACAACGTGTTGAAAAAGATTTGGTGAACATCATGTCTGGAGGAACAGTTGAAAACCTCGATATCCTTGATGCAACTAATTTCAGTATTGTTTCTTTGTCTTTGTGCAACTGCTGCATTTTTTCTAGTCCTGAAGTAGCCACAGATGGAATAAGATTCCATGGCTGAAAATCAAAATCATATTATTTGGTTCAGTCAGTACTGAAAACTAAATCACTTTATTGAAAAGTTTCCATAATTCATGTGATGGAACCATACATCACTTCCTTGATGTGTGATGGCCTTTGGATAGTAGTGGAGAGATTGAAGGAGGATTCTTTTTTTTTTTTTTTTTAACTGAGTACTTGATTGTATGTTTGTCCTCCTGAAATGGTTGTTGTTATACCTTAATCTTGGTTTACATGCTGAAGTCAATGGGCAAGGTGAAGCTGGTGATGACAATGCTCGCAATTCTAATAAGAAAGCTCCACCTGCACCTGCAACAAAGGCTGAAGCTCCAGGTACAGGAGGCAATGCTGGGGAACCTGATGGAACTGACTCTGATGACTCTGATGAGTCAATGTGAATTCAAGTTCCATACATGGCTTTTATAGTTATGTGATTTGGCCGAGGATTTCCATACCATCCATCAGCTTTTCTGATATGCTTTTGAAGATGGTTCACAGCTTCAGAATTTATCAGGGTTAACTGATCTGTTTTAATATTTGCCTCTTTTTTATTTTTGGTTTCATTTTGTTATCAACCCCAACATATTTTCGTGATCGGGATCTATGTAGTGAGTTTTCCTCTTGAAATGCTCGCTGGATTTGCTTATTCAACCACATGGAAGAACTGCATGTGCAATGTACTACTATTGTTTATGCTCAATGTAGATCATGTAATTTTAAACATTACATGTTGATGACATGAAAATGATCATATGATGCAAAAAAAAAAAAAAAAAAAAAAGCAGTACAGTTTAAATTATAATAAAAACTGCATAGTGGTTTGATAAAAAAAAATGTGTTTGGTATGTCGACATGAATTTAATGCAATATAAATGTATGTATTGTCAATTTAATGAAATATGAAATATTGTTTAGAATTAAGATATAAGAAAAAAAATTTTGGAATTTCATGGAATAAGTCGTCAGTTTTCCTTTGTGTGACTAGGAAAGGGAAGTGTACTGTGATTGAAAATTTGGATGGATTTTTGTAGTAGGTAGTAAAAATTCAGCAACAATGAAACTTGCATCTCTTCTGAACTGTATGAATTGGGCTTAAATTTCAAACACGTTTGTTTGGACTTTGGAGTGTGGATTGGTCCATACTCCATAACAAAACTTACTAACCAGAATTTCCAGGACTTTTGAGCCTGGGAATGCGATTTATAAAGTATTTTTTTTTAGAAAAAACAAACAAGAAAAAGAAAATGTATGGACAGCAAAGCCAGCTAATGAATGCTGGAAAATGTTGGAATTTGTGATGAAGGTGAGTGTAATTTCCATGTGCATACATAAATTATTATTACAAAAAAATAAATTTCCGTACCACCGTATGCTCTCTCTCTCTCTGCCCTAATTTTGTTATTAATTTAACAATGAATGTAAATGGCAATGAGATGTCGAGGAGGACACAACACTGAACACAGACGTCAACTTGTCATTACTTTTGCAATACTAATTCCGGCACAACAACTGTACTTCTAAAAAATTAAAAAAAAAAAAAAGAAAGAAAAACAATTGGATTTTTTTTTCTATTTCTAATTAAATGCTAAACCCATTGTTTTAGTGCTTTAACATATGGTATACACCATTGGCGCTGTATAATCATATTTTCATACTTGATCAACAATATGCGTCGGTGTCTTTTCCAGTTCAATTTCTTGGGGTTTGGTCAAATCCATTTAATATTTGTAAAGTCAAGTCCAAAGTTCAAACCAATGAGTTTGGGGGGACCCGTTCCAAGTGTGGAAATTTTCTATCCAGTATTATCAGTTTGTCAGATGTCGGAAGGAATTGATTGGAGTCGATGAGAATCAAATATATTATATTATTTGTAAATTTTAAATTCAATTTTTGCTAATTATTTTTTTTATAATAATATTATAAATTTAATGTGAATCTTCTTTGAAATTTATAGTTTGCTCTGACCTTGTGTTAAAAAAAAAAAATGAAGGAAATTTAGGAGAAAGGCAACTAACAGGACATTGGAGCATAATTTTGAATGACCACTTCGACGACGTTTAGTGTTTTTAAAATAAATTGCGTAATAATTCAAACAAGTGCATGGCAAGGGAATTTCTGACGAAGTTCACTCCTTACTTAACGCCACAATAGTCCAATTCCATAAGCTTACTTTTGAGATGTCAAAAATTCCAAATTCGGCCAATAAAATTTTCCCTTAGCAATAAGGATAAAATTTTAGAATGTTAAAAATTTAAGCTTAAATCTCAATATATATGAATTTGACTTAATTTTATATTAAATTTATCTAATTATGTTGTGATTTGATTAGTTTGATTATTTAGTAATTTTTTATATATATGGATATAAAATTGTAAGTTTTAACAAGAGAATCTCTACTTCTACAAATGAAAGAAAGACTATGGTAATTAGAAGCAATAGAATATATATTCACTACAAAAATACTTTTTGATTCGCTAATAAAAGGGATATTTTATTGAATAAAATAAAAAATTTCATTTAAAGCATAAGAGTAAAAAGCCATCAAACTAATTTTCAAGAAAAAAATCATCAAACTAATAAAAAACAATTTCTTTTCATAATACTTAATTTAAAGATTTTTAAGGATATTTGATGCATGATACTTCTGTTTATGAAGAAATAAATTGGTATACTTTTGAGTTGGGGTGGTGGAGTTTTGACAATTGGCCAATCAAAAGATGTTGCTTGACAGGCTGAATGGATGTGCATACACTGACTACCAACAAACTTGCTTCAATTCTTCACAACACCTTTCAGTAATGGAGCCTGTTTTATATATTTTGATGATTTTTTAGGGAATGCATCGCAATCAATGCCATTTATAGACCAACGTTATCAACCGACACCATCTACTAATGCTTCATTTTTATAGTCCAGATTCTCACCCACTTTTGAACCATAAATTCTAAGGGGCGTTTGATTTTTAGAATTTTAGATTTCGAATAATAATGTGATTCTCAAAAAGTATGATACTTAGAGATTTTTTGTTCAGGACATTTTATGTTCAAATTTATTTGTTTCTAACAAAAAATGTCATAAATAATATCCTCCAAAATTTTTTTTAAAGATTATTAAAGATATTTTTATCCAAAAAATATCTTGAATAATTTTTTAAACCCTAAATTTTAAATTCTAAAAATTAAGAATTAATAACCACCTTATAAACACTTTTAATAACCCCTTTAAATTTTTTGAAAAAGGATTATTCACGGATTTTCTAACAAAAAAATACCTTGAATAATCTCTTTATAAAAATTTTTAAGAATTATTCAAGACATTTTTTACTAAGAATACTTCAAATAATCTCATTTAATTTTTTGTAAGGGATTATTAAAAGCGTTTTATATGTCAAACGTCATATATAAAACTAAATTTTTTACAAGCAGAAACTTATAACTGACTTATTTTCACTTTCAAACATATTTTTCAAAATAGTAACGACTATTTTACAATTTTTTAGTTAGGTTAAATTTAAAAATAATATTATTTTTCTTCTGAAATCTTAAAATATCATAAGAAGATGTGAGTTTTTTATTCTAAGACTTTGGATACTATTAGAAATTTATCAATTTTTTTTGAAATCATATTATTCTAAATTAAATGTTAAAATTAAATACCTAACAACATAAATTTGCTCGAATCAAATGCTCCATAACGGATGTTGCTAAGGATGAAGCCATAGACTTTACTCTCCCTTTAAAATTGCCAGTTTTTTTTTCATGAAATTGAAAAAATATCTTGCTTTAAATATATTTAATGTTAAAATTTTAAACTTTTTTATAAAAATGATTTTTCATGATTTTTAATGTCAAAAAATAAAAAATTATGAAAAATAATTTTAAAATATAAAAAAATACGAAAGTTTTAATGTTAAAAAATGACATAATTAATTTGAAATTCCAAAAAAAATATGGACAAAAAAATGCAACATAGTGAGCATATTTTTGCTCCACCCTTCTAAATTAAAACAGAAATACTTTTCATTTGTAACAGCTTAGAAGAAAAAAAAAATTGAGAACATGTAGAGTGCATGTGCTTGACAATTAATTTTACATATTTTAACTCAACCATTTTTCAACTGAATTCCCTTTATGTTATGGTGTGATGCAAATATATAAAGCATTATCATATTCTTGATATTCTTGATGTTTTAAGCCATATATTCATCATTGAAATATTTGGTAACAATCAATAAATTCAAACATTTAAATGTTTCAAGTTTAAAATGAGATAGCTATCATTAAACAAATATAATTAGTATTTGATACACTATTAATATAAATTTTTAATTTTAAAAATAATTTAAAGTGATTGACACACGTCATATTTTTATTTTTAATTATTTTTTTTAAAAATTATATCATAAGAGATATATGTCATTTTTTAAGCCATTTGTAAATTTTAAAAATTCTATTAATAATAGATGGAATCATTTTTAAAATAAAATTTGGAACATTGAAATATTTCCAAGGCCAATTAATTTATTCGTTTTACCTATTACTCTTAATTATACTAGAAATAGCCACCTTGCTAAATTGAGGTGAACTATTTTTCTGTAAACAATATTTATTATTATTTATCAATTTTTTATTATTTTGAATATATTTTTAATTATTTAAAAAAATAAAAATATTATAAAAGTATTAAAATTAATATATATAATATTTCATATATTGCAATTATAGTTTTTTTTATTAATTTTCTATATTATATTTTGCGCATTGCATTTTTATTAATCATTTGATCGAGTGCATAATTTTCCATTTATTTTAGTTTTATAATTTTTGTAAAAATATTTAAAACAAAATAAAAATAATTTAATTTTTTATTATGTCTTTTATATTTATATTTATCACATTATATTTTTTATTTGATTATAATATTTTAATATGTAGTTAAGTTTTATGAAATTAATTTAATATGTAAATATTTAATAACGATATTATAGTAATTTTTATAAAACGCCACATGTCAATGAAATAATTGTAAATATATTGCAGTAATTTAATATATAATTACTTTTATACCATATTAAAATTTAAAACGTAATTTAGTAGAGATATTATAGTAATTTTTATTAATTATGACAAGAACATATTCTTGCAAGTATGGTAGGAAGGGTATTTTAATAATTTTGATTAATTATAATAAAAAAATATTTTCATAATTATGATAAAAAAGATATTTCAATAATTATGATAAAAAGAGCATTATTAGTAATTTGGATTGATTATAAAAGAAGAAGCGTTACAATAAATCTAGACACGTATAAACTAATAATTAAAGGGGTATAATTATCATTTTAAAATATGAAAGAAAGGATGTTACTATAAATTTAAACTAACAATTAAATAATTAAAGGAGTATTATTGTCATTTCTATGAAGACTATTTTTAATATATTATATAGATATGTTAGGACTTAGGGTGCATATGACATTATCATTGTCGGATTAATAAACTCAAAAAGTTATCTCTCACTCCCTCTCTTTTTTTATTCATCCTTTTTTTTTTTTTTGGATGTCTTAAAATAATATCTTATTTTATTTTTTCAACACTTAAAATTTTTCTTTTTTATATTTTAAAATTATTTTTATATTTTTTAACTTTTTAATATTAAAAATTATGAACA